TCTTCTACCATTGAAGATATCCTACTATAATCTAGTCTACAAATTGATTACTAAAATTCTTGCTAAATGATTAAAGAAATGCTTGAGCCATTTCATCAGTAGCAATAATGCATTTAAGAAAGTTAATTTTCTTGAGTTTCAAGACTTAAACCTTAAATCTAACCTAGCTAATGACGCTTAATTACTAACGAATCCAACTATTGAGGTTTGAAAGGTAAATGACTTAACGGTCCAATTAAATAGAAAACAGAAAAATGACACAATATGCCTTCCAAAGTAATTTAACTTTCTGTAGTAAATTATGACAATAACGGTTAAGAGTAGTGTTAGGGGCACTCGCTTTTTGCACTCTCCGACCCACACTTCCACTTTCATTGGGCCACATAAGCTTCTTTAAAGCTTTCAGGTGCAACCTCTAGGAAACCAAAATATTGTGGCCCAATAGAAGAGAAAGTGTTGGCCGGAGAGTGCAGGAGGCGAGTGCCCATAGCATTGCTTAACGGTTAATTGCTAATGGAATAATATATAAAATATGATAAGATAGGATACAAATAGATGTATAAATGATTAACTACTAGAGTTTATAATCAAAAGTGAATTATGATTTATAATTCATAGTAAACATAAACATTTGCATTTTATTAACATATTACAATTTACACATTAATTTTTTTTTATCATATCTAACCAATTCTAGCTAACTTACCAAATAGTAATAAAAACAATTTAAATCAAATGTCATAAAAAAATAAATGAAGAAAGTCAATGCTAAATACTCAAGTAACGCAGGGGTTATCTCTTTTTAATAATTGCATTTTATTAACATATTACAATTTACACATTAATTTTTTTTATCATATCTAATCAATTCTAGCTAACTTACCAAATAGTAATAAAAACAATTTAAATCAAATGTCATAAAAAAATAAATGAAGAAAGTTATGCCAAATACTCAAATAACTCAGGAGTTATCTCTTTTTAATAAAAGTAGGAGATTTTTAGTTTAAATTACATAGTATGTAGGTGAATTAATAAATAGAAAAGAGCTACCTTTTGCAACCTAAAATTAAAAGAAAAAAAATTTAGATATCAACATTTAATATGATGATCAGATTTCAATTTCTAGATGTAGATTAGGAGTTCAATTATTTTTAGGAATTGAAACTAATGTGCATTAACCTTTATAATTAATATATCTTTCTTGGTAATATATAATTATTATATGGAGGTTGGTGTAATGCAAGTTGTCCTCTTTTTCTTTTTTTGGAGGATATGCTTAAAAATCTATATTCTAATTAATATTTTAAAATTAGTGTGTATCAGTCCCAACCCTAAAAAAATTAGAATACTAACTTACCTTTAGAAACTAAAATCTCAATTCAAAATTTAAAAATTTACTTTATTAAATATAGATACTTAAATTTGGAAACCAATTATATATTTTAATATAATCAATGTTCAAATCTAAATATAAATATTTAATAGGATGGAATATGGATTTTTAAATTTTAAATTAAGTTTTAATTAAATGAAAAAACTAATTTAAGGTTGCAATTCTAATTTATTTTGGAAGTCGGAATTAATATGCATTTTTCACTTAGAGAAACTAAAATAACTTGTTTTTAAAGCCAAATCTGTTATTTAGCCCCTTAATATTATTATTATGTTTTTTGTAGTCAACACCCTCTAACTAGTCTTTTAAATTTTCCATTTCAATTTTCAAATTAATTGAATATATAATTAATTAATTGATTATAGAAAATTTACTACCATTAAATCTATATTGGAAAACATAAGTTTCTTGATTGAATGATTATAGATATTAGATTAATTTAAAAATAGATATGCATAATCTATATTAAAAGAACATTAAATTTAATTGTTAATTTTTGAAAATATTACTTGGAGTGTTGTTTTTGAAGTTAAAATTCTAATTTTTTTTATAAAAATAGGAACTGATATATACTATTCTTATGAAATAAACACATCACTTGTAAATCTGACATAAAATAGATAATAATAAATTCAATGATGAACCTATTAGGGTTGCTTAAGCTGTAAGAATAGATGAGAACTATGTCTAGAAATGCATGTTCAAGTCTCTCTATTGTTAGTTTGGTGGAGATCTTCCCATATTAGTATACGAGGTGATTTGCAATTACTTCTAGAATTAGTCGGGTTAAAGGCCCGAGTACCTATATTATCAAAATTAAAAAAAAAAAATTCAATGATGGAGAAACCAAACATACTCCAGTTTTAGCAATTCAGGTTGCAATCTTATCAAACGTACTCTAAACTCCTTACATTGGAAGGTGGGAGCAAAACCCTCAACTTTTGTAAGTTGAAGGGCTTTTCAAGAATTACTGCACTTTTAGCACTTCAGAGTTCAGATATCCTTGCGGTATGCATTTCTGGCCTCAATCTAAGGAGCAATGAATTCTCATTGTCTGCTCACCAGAAGCCTCTAGCAGACCACGGGAGGCCCTAAACTTACCAAATTAACGTATAGCAGCGCATAAGTAGAACTCAATGGCTTCCCTGAACTTCACTCCCCAGCTATCCAGATTTTCTTCGAGCACTACAACTCACCGTAAGCAAGCTAAGTTTCCCTCCAGGAGGAGACCCGTTTCCGTTTCTGTCTCTGCCTCACCGGATTCTCCAACCCAACTGCCCGAAATCGAGCTCGAGTTCATTGGGGTAACACATTTTCAGTAAATTTTTAGTTCTTGTTATCCTTCTAATGTTTCATTCTTATGCTGTATGTTTGTGATGGCGGAGAGCAGCCAAAACCAGATAGTGACCCGGTGCAAAGAGCCAAAGCCATAAGTGGAGAGAAGCTGCTGAGGAACATTATGTTGGATAACAAGATCGAGCTCTACGCGACGTATGTATGTTAATTCCATATTCATACTGTATACTGTCAATTTTTCCTACTTCATTTTCAACGGTAATATTTTTAACTTGAACTATGTATTAGGGGAAAGTGATGAACTGTGGAGGTGGTGGAAGCTGTGGAACTTGCATTGTAGAGGTAATAATGATGTTAAATTTCGGCTGTTTCTACAATTTCATTTTGTTTTCCTTAGTTGATGATTAAAGCATATTGTGGATAGTTTGATTTAAAGGAGGCATCTGTGTTATTTTGTAGATTATTGATGGAAAAGATCTATTGAATGAAAGAACAAACACAGAACTTCGGTATCTGAAGAAGGTAAGCTTTCT